TTTGGAATTTTCGTTCGTGTTTACGAAGATTCCTTGGACATTTCGTTCACAATATCGTTATCGGTTAAAACATCCCGCTCATCAACAAAGAGAAAATCGTTCCATCAGGGGTTTCGTGAAATTTTTCGCACGATTTTCTTATTGTGTGTACGGGGCATAAGTCTTCAACAGGAAATCAAGTGGCCCATACAGGACGTTGCACATGTAAGTTATTTGAAGACTCCAAAGGCCATTTGTTTTTTTTGGCAAATTTCTAATTCACTACCACATAGTTACATAGTTAGTCTGGCTGAAAAAAGACAAAAGTCCATCCAGTTCAACCATAGAAGAAAAAAAAGTTATACCCAGAGTTGATCCAGAGGAAGGCAAAACATAACTCAGCAAAGCACGATCCAATTTGCTCCTGTTGGGAAAAAAATTCCTTCCTGATCCCCCGAGAGGCAATCGGATATTCCCTGGATCAACTTTACCTGTAAATGTTATATCCAGTTATATTCTGTGTATATAAACAGTTAAATTTTTAATCCAATGTTGTTGATTTAACCACCTTCTGCCCGCCATATAGTACAATGACGGGCGCAAGGTGGTTCTCTCGTTCTGATAGGACGTCATAGGACGTCCTTCCATTCTCACTGCGCATGTGCGGCACAGGGAGCGCGCAGCGCGGCGATCGCCGGTGCGCTGTGTCCCTCGGACACAGCGGATCACGGAAAGAGTCGAAGATGTCGGCTCGGTCATGTGATCAGGTGTCCAATCACCTATACCTATAAATGTTAGTATCCAGTTGTGTCCATGGCCATGTGCCCATGGCATCCTGTGGCCACTTCAATCACTCTTTTGGTGTACTATTATTATTTTTATATTACAGGATTTATATATCGCCAACAGTTTACGCAGCACTTTACAACATACTACTAGCGGGAATGGGCCCGCGGCCATCCTGATTTCTTAAACAGCTATCCATCCTGTTCAGAGTGTGGTTCCTTTATGGAGGAGCCTAGATCAAAAGTACATATTGTAGCGCAAACCCCGGACTGGTCTGGCTGCACGCGTCTTTCTGTGTTTTTATTTTTAACTCTTTATTTAAATAGGTTGCACACAGACAGGGCAGAAAGTACAAGGTTACAATATACCAGGCATAGGGAAGGCCACAATGACTGGCAAACAGAATAAGTAGCCGTGTAGCACTACCCTCTTTAGGGCCGCTGGATTTGTTTTGGGTCCCTCTAAGCTCTACTTGGCCAGGCCACTCATTTTCCACACTTGTAGTCAGTAAACAATCCTTGAGCTGTTTTCTTGAGGGGTTAACAACTTGGATGTGGTCGAGGGGTATATGGGATGCCCAAGGAACTGTAAACTTGAGGACAAACCTCTTAGCAACAATACTGTACGAAAGAGCGGATTAGCAGAAATGGAACACAGTCTCTTTAAGGAGCACTGAAGTCCCCTTGATGTACCTCCTTAGACCCCAGATGTATCCTTCTCTTCACCCAGTTGCACTGAAGGTATCCCTGGGCAAGGGGTCCAAAGAGCTAACAATGAAGTAGTCCCGGATAAGAACTAGTTGGGTCTTGCACCTGACTGTCCTCTCCCATTATCTGGTCCAGGGGGTGTAGAAGTACTCACACTGTCCTGTTAGCTTGATGGGTTGGTGGCTTCCTTCAGGCTTTATGCTGGGCTGGCTTCTTCCCTGCTGACAGATGTCCTCTCAAGGAGACGGGGACAGTGGAGATCCTCCCTTCCAGCAACATGCCTGTAGGTAGCCCCCACCTTTCCCCCTGGGGTCTCCTCCCAGGCTCCACACTCCAGCCTTCCTCTCAGTCCATTTTCTCCTGACCCTGCACTCCTGCTCTCCAGGCTCTGTCATATTTAAGGGTTGTCCTTGGTCACCATGCCCAGTCTCCTGCCAGGGGATTGGCCAAGGTCCCTAAAACATGCAGATCTGGGCCACCTCTGTTCCAGAAAGTTCTCTAAGTTTCTGGAAAGGTGGGAGGGCTCCAGAAGCCCTGACCTGTACAACCTCTCGGCCTGTCCTGAGGTGAGCTCACTACCTCAATCCCAGGCTGACGCATCTCAGGCTGCTACCCAGCCTCGGTCTAACAAAACAAAAAGCTTATCTAGCTAAATCTAGAGGACGTTACAGCAGAAAAAGAGAAGGTAGTATGCACCCCACCATGATATGCAGCCCTCTGTCATGATCATGCTGCAGCTACACACCTGGCCTCAATCAGTAGTGCTTAAATGGAGTTGAATGCTTTTGTGCCGGATCTGTCAGTTATGACTACCTCATTTTTGCCTTTGCCAGCTACCTGTCATGGCTTCAAGTTTGTCCCTCAATAGATTTGCCTGCCTCCAGTCTGTCCTGACTCCATTTCCACTTTGTGATTGGGTATTGCGTTTTGGTTCTGCCTGCACAATTCCTTTGTCTCTGCATGGAAATGCCTTTAGTGTCTCTGGGAAAGACTTGTCACACTCGACATACACTTCAGTGTATAATACTGCCACACTTCGGATCATAACAGCACCCGTCACATTTTCAACCTGTGGGTAGGTGCAGCGATGTGACGGGCAGAAAACGCTCAGATCCAGATGCAAAAACAGGAATGTATTGTAAGTACACCAATACACCACAGGCCCATTGGGGAGGCAACGTTACCGGGAACACTAACGGAATATAACTGCGGTGTGATTGAAGATGGTAGTCTCAGGGAATAAGAGAAAAAAAGGTTTTTTACTTGTGAGCCACCGACTTATAGATATATATATACTGGTTCGCTGACATCCAACACAACCTCTATTTATGTGCAAAATTACCCAAAGAAAACTCAATAAATTGAATGTCGCGCTCCAATTCCAAAAGCAATATTATATACAGTATAAATTATACTGAATCATAAACCCCAAATCAGACATAGAAAAAATAATTGGGTATCCCAGGAGGGATATGAGACATGGGGCTGGCTGAGAGATACCCACCATACCTCATACTATGCAATAAATGTTCCTATTAGTGAACAAAAGTGCATTAAGCCTGTCATAGGCTATCAAGGAGGTGAGTGTACATCTGAATTACATTAAGGAACTTACCTATATATATATTTTCATTTCACTTGAACCACTGGAAGTTGTCAACATCACTAAACAGAGACTTTTGTTATATGTTATGCATTGGAGTTTTTATCACATTAGTATTTGAAAATTATTTTTCTATGTCTGATTTGGGGGTTTATGATTCAGTATAATTTATACTGTGTATAATATTGCATTTGGAATAGAGCGCGAAATTCAGTTTCTTGAGTCTCAGGGATAAAATCATCAATCCTCTTTAGTGTCAGGAAGTCCCTTCAAACAATCTTCAATGTGATAATCCAAAAATGAAATCCAATATCGCAGTGTACCTCAAAAAATACAAAAACCAAATCCCTTGACGCGTTTCGTCACTTCCTGGCTTATTCATAAGGGGTCAGGAAGTGACGAAACGCGTCAAGGGACGTGACGTCAGGACGTTGCACGGTGACCAGAAGTGCCCGAGCTCCATCTTAACTGAGGGAATATCGCAATTGGCATTCCTGGAAGCTGCTCTGCAGATGGGAATGGGAATTTAAAAGGGTTTTTATGCATTTTTGATACTATTAACATGTAAGCACAACCAATAAAGTCTGGATATATTTATATGACATATTACACTATATGGCTATTCTCTCTTTTCTATGGGTGTTTTACTTGTGATTGGCTGGGGGAGGATATATATCAAACTTGGAAGCATAGGATGTCTGGCATATAACGTTGGAGGATCTACTGAAGAAATGGTGGCAATTGGATTAAGGCTTTTTTGATCACATTTTGATGGTAAGAGTATTCACTCTAGCCACATAGAAGTGTCCACGGAGTGTCCACGGAGTGTTCACGGAGTGTTCATGGAGTGTTCACGGAGTAGTGTATATGTTGGAGTGTACACGGAGTGCTGCACTAATTCACGTGTTCTCACGCAGTGTTTATATTGTGTTTTTCACAATTTTTTAACATATGTATATATGGCTGTAAATATTGTTACACTGAGGATAATACACTATTTTAGTTTTTGTATTTTTTAAGGTACACCGCGATATTGGATTTCATTTTTGGATTATCACATTGAAGATTGAAGGGATTTAGAAGAAGATTGATGATTTATACTTTGGACTTTCAGGGGTGAAAGTGGGACTTTTAAGTGTCAAGGGATAGGGTATTCATTTTTCATAATTTTTCATATTTATTTATATATTCAGAATTTTTGCACATTTATTTGTATAATTTTCACACAAAAAATTGTAATATTTGGATACTGATTTATTCAGTTTATATGTAGTCTCAGGGAAGCCGTCAGCATTTGTCTCGGGGCGCGGAGTGCAACCTGGCCAGTCCGTACCCAAATGAGGTCTCCAGGAAGGATGGCGTGTCCTTATACTCTTCCTACCCCCTTCGGGAACCTTTCCTCGACACTAAGCACTCTTCCGGACTGACAGGTATCTGGTCCCTACACTATCACTCACAAAATGCACGCCAAAGCCAGGAGCCAGGGTCTTAAATAGCCTCTGCCTGACCCAGGATTGCCACCAAAGTCACATGGGGTGCCCCCTCTGTAACTGAGGAAAACCATAGAAGAACTAGTTTTCTCTTGGCTTCCACCTCCACCTACATTGTCGCTGCGGATGACCGCCTCCTACAGTGGAGAAAATAAACTGCACCTGCCTACAAACATCATTTCTCTGGCTCATCTTTAACCCCTGGCCTACATGGCACTTCTACCCCCTTCCTGCCCCCTGGGCACTTATACCCCCTTCCTGCCCCCCGGGCACTTATACCCCCTTCCTGCCCAGGCCAATTTCCAGCTTTCAGCGCTGTCACACTTTGAATGACAATTGCGCGGTCATGCAACACTGTACCCATATGACATTTTTATCATTTTTTTGAGACAGATAGAGCTTTCTTTTGGTGGTATTTAATCACCTCGGGGATTTTAATTTTTTCTTAAACAAACCAAAAACCACTGAAAAATTAGAAAAAAAAAACAATTTTTTTCTTATTTTTTGTTATACAATTTTGTAAATAAGTGATTTTTTTCCTTCACTGATGTGCGCTAATGAGGCTGCAGTGATGGGCACTGATAGGCTGCACTAATGGACACTGATAGGTGGCACTCATGGGCACTGATGAGGAGGCACTGGTAGGTGGCACTGATGGGCATTGACAGGCATCACTGATGGGCACTGAAAGGCAGCACTGATATATGGCACTGATATGTGGCACTGTTAGGTGGCACTGACTGGCACTGTTAGGTGGCACTGACTGGCACTGATAGGCGGCACTGATGCGCACTGATAGGCGGCACTGATGCACACTGATAGACGACACTGACTGGCACTGATAGGTGGCACTGATTGGCATTGATAGGTGGCACTGACTGGCACTGATGGGAGACATTGAAAGGCAGCTCAGATGGGCACTGATATGTGGCATTGATGTGGCACTGATGGGCACTGGCACGTGGCACTGATGAGCACTGACTGCTGGCACTGATGGACACTGACAGGTGGCACTTCTGGGACACACTGATCATCAGGGCACACTGATCATCAGTGCCCTGATGATCAGTGTAGATGTCCTCTCCGCGAAAAGCCGATTACTGGCTCTCCTCTCCTCTCCTCTCGAGCTGTCAGCGTGACAGCCCAAGAGGAGAGAAATGGCGATAACCGGCATTTCCGTGTTTACATGCGATCAGCTGTGATTGGACACAGCTGATCACATGACCGAGCCGACATCTTCGGCTCTTTCCGTGATCTGCTGTGTCCGGGGTACACAGCGCACCGGCGGCGATCGCCGTGCTGCACGCTCCCTGAGCCGCGCATGCGCGGTGAGAATGGAAGGACGACATATGACGTCCTTTCAAAAAACGAGAGAACCACCTTGCGCCCGTCATTGTACTATATGGCGGGCAGAAGGTGGTTAAATCAACAACATGGGATTCAAAATTAAACTGTTTGTATACACAGAATATAACTGGATATAACATTTATAGGTAAGGTTGATCCAGGGAATATCCGATTGCCTCTCGGGGGATCAGGAAGGAATTTTTTCCCCTGCAGGAGCAAATTGGATCGTGCTTTGCTGGGGTTTTTTTTGCCTTCCTCTGGATCAACTGTGGGTGTAGGATTATAACTTTTTTTTCTATGGTTGAACTGGATGGACTTTTGTCCTTTTTTCAGCCACAATAACTATGTAACGATGTAACTATGTTTATTTTACAAATACAAAAAGTCTCACAGTAATATCAATGAAGACAAGCGAAGAAGTGCTGATTAGATCGGCATAATTGATTGGCAGTGCAGAGATCTAGAGTAACACAAGATCTGAAACAGCCAACCGCAACAAAAAATGACAAAAATGGTAAATAGTTGAGTAAGACCCGGACTCCCGGTCTGCAATCAAACCCTTACACATCACAACTTCTGAAAACCTCTGCGTGTTTCAGGGACTTTTATGTGTTCTTTAAATGCAGTTCAACAGGAAAAAAAGGACAGCAACACAATCTGTTTTCTGAAAACACAAATGTGCATCATAATCAGGCCTACATAGATGTAATGTAATAGTCACACTCTTGTTTCAGAAATGTTTTTTGCGGCTTTGTGGCAGTCACTAAATCAGGGACAGACAAGACATTTGAGCGGTGTGATGTTTACACAATAAGGACTTTATGCAAACGCAGGCTATCAATATGGCTACTGTTTACCAGATGGAGGGTGCGCAAAAAAGTAGCGGTCCTTCATCTGCCTTTTAAGCAGCAGAAATTGTGCCGCTCAAGGAGGTCATGAATGGGCACTTTCATCAGGTTGCATGTTACATCGAGCGGGGGGAACGAAAACGAGCGTAATTTGTGTTATAAGTCAGCTCTATTTAATGTGGTTTGTTTTTTTTTACGAATTTAAAGAGTACAAAAACAAATATTTTTCTCTGAAGAGTTACTTTAATATATTCTATACATTTCTTGACTTTGCAAGAATCTATACGAAGTGTGAGAGCCTTGGATATTTTTTTGTAATCATAAAAAAATTAACAACAAGAAACAAATAATTTAAGAAATGTTTTTTGAGTAATAAAAAATAAATAAAATGTAAAATATTTATAATGTAGTCAAACTAAACTCTCTGATTGCAATACAATCCTGCATTGTTTTATTAGGGAGGAGAGAAACACCGAATTACCCAAGAAAAGTCTCAATCCAGTCCTGTGAGAGAAAATAGGGTCACCTACTTGTATGCAGGGACCAAGATGATTAGGTTGGCCTTTTGTACTCTTCCCATCTGAGCACCCCTAGAAGTTTTATTTATTTATTTCAGGTACTTATATAGCGCCATGAATTTACGCAGCACTTTACATATATATTGTACATTCACATCAGTCCCTAAGGTACAATCTAAGGTCCCTAACCCTCAAGGGGCGTACCATATAAGGTCCCTAACCCTTGGGGGGGGGCGTACGATATAAGGTCCCTAACCCTCGGGGGGCGTACAATCTAAGGTCCCTAACCCTCAAGGGGCGTACAATCTAAGGTCTCTAAAGGTCCCTCAAGGGGCGTACAATCTAAGGTCCCTAACCCTCAAGGGATGTACAATTTAAAGGTCCCTAACCCTCAAGGGGCGTACAATCTAAGGTCCCTAACCCTCAAGGGGCGTACAATCTAAGGTCCCTAACCCTCAAGGGGCGTACAATTTAAGGTCCCTAACCCTCAAGGGGCGTACAATCTAAGTTCCCTGACCCTCAAGGGGCGTACAATCTAAGGTCCCTGATTCTCAAGGGGCGTACAATCTAAGGTCCCTGACCCTCAAGGGGCGTACAATCTAAGGTCCCTGACCCTCAAGGGGCGTACAGTCTAAGTCTCTAACCCTCAAGGGGCGTACAATCTAAGGTCCCTAACCCTCAAGGGTGTACAATCTAAGGTCCCTGACTTACATTCACACATAGTAGGGCCAGTTTGGACAGGATCCAATTAACCTACCAGCCAGGGGCAGACTGACAACTCATGGGACCCGATAGCGCGATATAATAATAGATGTTGATCACATTATCACATTTATTTTTATAAACAATTTTTATTTTTAGGATGGGATCCATGCTTTCATGTTGTTTACGCCAAATTCTGACCCTACCACCTGAATGTCGCAGCTGAAATCCAGATTCATCAGACCAGGCAACGTTTTTCCAATCTTCTATTGTCCAATTTTGGTGAGTCTGTGCGGATTGTAAGCCTCCTTTTCCTGTTCTTAGCTGACAGGAGTGGCACCCAGTGTGGTCTTCTGCTGCTGTAGCCCATCTGCTTCAAGGTTGGACATGTTGTGCGTTCAGAGATGGTATTCTGCATACCTTGGGTGTGTAACGAGTGTTTATTTGAGTTCAAAGAACAAAGGTTGTACCGCTCAGGCAAACAAAAGGGTATACAGAATAAAATCCACACAAGGTGCAGACTTTGGCTCACCACCACACATGATGCAAAAAACCAGAAGAAGGGTCAGCCGCACACCGGAGGATAGATGAATATAATGTGTATTTATTAACCCCCCTGGAGGTATTCCCGAGTGTAGCTCAGGGTTAACTTTCAGTACCACAAAGCGGTAACCCCCCCGAGCTACACTCGGGAAATACACTTGATGCAGCGTTGCTCCGGGATCTCTTCTTCACTTACCTTGTCCTGCACTCCCGCGATGTCCCTCCTGCAGTGTCCCCTGTAATGTCCTCTGGCCAATGCCGGCATCTGTCTTCCGGGTTCCGTTCCCTGCGACGTCGGGGGGACAGATCTGGCGGGAAAATTCAAAAATGTAAAAAGTGACATTCACTAAATACATGACTACTGCACCATAGATAGGCTTTGTCCACTCCTACTTCCACCATTGCCTATCCATACCACTCCAAACCCCCCTTTAACCAAATAAACTTTACAAAAAAAAATGACACCATTTTGGGAGTAAAAAAAAATGGCCAAATTTTGGCCAAACTTTATTAACAACTTCACATTTTAAAACAAAACATCAAACGTTCCTTAATGGAAAACCAAAGAATTGTTGTTGGTCTTTCAAAAGGGCACCCAAAAACGATCCAAAATGCACCAAAGACAACACCCTCCCCCCCACCCCCCCCCCACCCCCACCCCTCCACCCCCCCCCCCACAGCCCCCACCCCCCCCCCCCCCCACACATTTATTCTGCTCACCCCCCCCCCCCCTATACCCAACCTTCCCTACCCCCCAGGAACCCCCCAAACCTCTGTCCCCCCACCCACCCCCTCCAATAAACCCCCCCCACCTCCCCCCCACCCCCCCCCCCCCCCCATCCCACAGACCCCCCTTCCTACACCCCCTCCCCCCCTCCCAATTCCGTAAACTCCCACCCCCACCCCCACCCACCCCTTGGAAATCCCTCCCAATTTTAAAAAAAACCCCCCACCCCTCCCCTACCACCCCCCCCACCCCCTAGTCCCCCACTCCCCCCCCCAATTATCCATTCTTCCCCCCCCTACCTCCCCTCCCCCCCCACTCCCCGACCCCTCCCCCCAATACCCCCCCACTCATAGAACCTCAGGCATGTCCACTCCCCCCCCACCATTACCCCCCCCCCCCTCCCCCCCCTCTCCCCCCCCCCCCCCCCAACATAAAACCCCCCGCCCAAAACATGACACCCCCCAAATAATATCCCAAGGCCAAATAAAACCACCCCCCCCAACTTCACAATATTAACATACCCCCCACCCCCCCCCACCACCCCCCCCCAGAATTGTTTGTTGGTCTTCAACCCCCCCCCAAAACCCCCAAAATGCACCAATCCCCCCATACACTAGGCCCCCAGCCGCCCCCCCCCCAGCTCAGACAACCATACCGTCCCAGTGCCCCCACACCACCACCCCTTCCCCCCCCCCTCCCCCCTAACACCCCCCCAACCCCCCACCCCCCCCCCCATACCACCCCATGGGGTCCCACCCCCCACCCCACCCCCCCAAGATGAGAACCCCCTCCCCCACTCCCCCCCAACCGCCACCCCACCTGGGTAAGCCCTTACCCATGGTGCCCCCACCCCCTCCCCCCCGTCCCCCCCCCCCCCCAGCACCCCCCCCCCACCCCCCCCCCCACCCACCCCCCCCCAAATGCCCTCCATCACCCCCCCCCCCCCCCACCATCCCCCACCCCCCCCAACCCCCCCCCCAACCACCCTCCTCCACCCCCCTAAAAAAGCCCCCCACCCCCACCCCCCCCCCCCCCCCCCTGGCCCCCCCCAAAACCCCACCGACCCACCCAAACCCCCACCCCTCCCTCACCCATGCCCCCGACCCCCCCCAGACCACCCACCCCACCCCCCCCAACTCCCCCCCCCCCGCCTCAAATCCAGCCCCCGACATCCCTAACCAGCTCCCTGCATGGACCCACCCCCCAAATCCCACCAACCCCCCGTGAATCACCCCCCCACCTCCCCCCCTATCCCCCCCCCGCCCCCAGCCCAACCCCCCCCACCACATCCCCCCCTCCCCCCCCCCCCCCGCACCACAGCCTAACCAGCCCCCCACCACCCCCACCCCTATCCCCCCCCCCAAAACCCCCTGCCCCGCCCCCATACAGCCCCC